GGAATAGGCTATGGACCATGCTCTACACATTGGCATAATTTTTATTTAAAAATTTGTTATAATTTCGGAATACCGAACAGAAAGCTAATGGGAAATTATATGTCATTCGAAAGAGCTCGTGAGTTGAGTCGAATGATGAAAAAATTTTCGCGCGGAGGTGGGGGCTGAGATTCAGATACAGGGGTGAGATACAAGTCCCCGAAAATCGAAAAACAATAGGGGGGATAAGCTGTTTTTTGGGAGTGAAAAATTCACACGTTCGACTCAATCGACGAGCTCTTTCAAATGACATGTTTTGACCCATTTGCTTTCTGTTCAGTATTCCGAAATTTTTCCAAAGATTTTTGGTCAGTCGAAATGTTCCCTTGTCAGGTGTGAAACCCTTATTATAATTGAAAATGATACATTTTTAGAGGCCACTAAAAACAATGATTACCGGAATCACTTTTATTTCAAGTGCCAATTCGATATTTATTTTGGTACCATTCGATAAAGGACTATTGACTTCCTATTACAAAATGATATCTGCTTTCTTGCAAAATGACTGAGCCGAGTTATGGCCGATCATGCTTTGAGTCTAAGTTAAGGGGATTTTTTCATTTACGATTTTTCCTGCTCAAAAAACCCACCAGATAGCTTTTATTAGGGTAGGAGTGGATTGAGTCACGACGGTTGAGTATCGGAGCCATATTTTGGGCAAATCGGTCAAGCCAAATTACCTCTATAAGTTACAATACCCCGAATTATATATTTGAAACGATCGGAGTCTATTACTTCGAATGGACTTCGAGACTAATTTTATCGTCAAACGTCACAGACATAAATTTTGATTGGCCATAATCCAACGCAGCCATTTTGTAATAAAACGGCATATCATTTCACAGTAGGAAGTCGGGTCCTCTATCGAATGGTACCCAAAATTAATCAAATTCGCCCTCACAGTAAACAATGTTACTTTGTCAGCTTAGCCATAATAACCCAAAAATTTAAAATTAAACTTGCAAAAAACCATCAACAGCAGCACATACAGCAATTGAAGTAGCGCAATTACAGTAAGGAGCAATTAAAGTTTTCTCACAACTCTACCTAGAGTAAAAAATTGAAAAATAATTTTTGAATACAAAACACAAAAATTTAAATGATTCCCCAGAAAATTTTTATCTACGGACCTAGGAGTAAACTTTTAGCATGTTAAACAATACAAGAATCTTAAATAAATCACACAACCATAAGACCATAAATTAAGTGCTGCATTCTAAAAACTATGTATTAGGTAACCTAGAACTCGCAGAAAAGGTAAATGCTTGAGACGAATTTGAAATGAAAAGCAGATAACCTTAACGGATAATGAGGGTTACAAACTTTCTCTAATTCGCAATAATAGAAAATCTATTGGGCATAACATTAGGTAAACTACACGATTTTTAAGAATACAGCTCTAACTACCAGTAAAACCCCGGATTTTGTTCTCATTGACTCAGTCAGCCCAAAAAACTTTCGATTGATTGCCGACACGGAATATTCATGCGCACATTACCAACGCCCAAATCATTACACGCAAAAATGTGGTCGACCATCTTTGCATTACCAGAAATATACAAGGGATGGGTCGGGTTTGAAAAAATTCAGATTTGTACGGTGTTCTCAGAAAGCCAGATTCTTCCTTTTTTTAGTGCCTCGGGGGAAAATTTTAGAAAAACGAAAAAGCCCAATATTTTTGACAGAGAAAACCTCACAATCAGTCATCGAGGTTTTATTATTCTTTTCGAGTTAAAAAATGACCGGGTCTCGGTTAACCCGACCCATCCCCGTTAAACCCCAACAGTATTTAAAAAAAAATTAGAAAAAAAAACCTTTCAACAACTCAAGCATTCAATAAATAAGATTAAAAAATCAGAATCTGTCAGCATCAAGTGAGAACCATCTCATCCATTTCATCATATCATAGGCACTGTTGTTCATAATCCATCGAACATAATTAAAGAGAAATTAAAGTCGAGATGATAGAAGAATTTAATGTTTAGTATCTGAAAAACAAATTTACTTAAAAAATAAGGCGAAACTTAAAACAACGTAGAAATAATCTTAAACCTCATGAAAGGAAAGGAAGCCATTTTAAATTTGAATATGAATGGTTTTTTCCCTCTTTCTCTAATTCCCTAACTATTTTCCTAAAATTAGGACAAGGACAATTTGTCGCGGGCTATATTTGATCAACCACTTTGTCGCAGTGATTAAAGGAAGTTTTTTGTTTAAAAATCCATCCAAAGAAAAATTATTGGACAAGAGGTTCTACATAATTAGTTAACCGACCTCATAAGTAACGATTTAGTCTTTGGGTTTTTTCTAGGGTAAACAGGAGCGAAAAATTAGTCAGCGACAAAGTGGGATGTACGTGTTTAGATTCAATTAAGAAATTTTACTTGTTCGTTACCCAAAACCAATTTGGCGGATTCATATTTACAAACAGTATAAGTAAAGACTCCACATAACAGGCTAATTTTTATGGGAAAAATTTAAATAGGCAATAGGTTCGAAGAGAGCGGTTGGGCGAAAATGTATATATAAAATTTTCCCTCAAGTCATAAAAGTTTTTATAATCTAAAAATTAATCCTGCCTACGTTTACATGATTGTGTAATAGAGGAAAAAATTGTGCCCTTCTGATCATATTCAGAAAAATTAAATTGAGTACCTAATGAATTTGGCATATTCATGCGCATGTTATCAAGTCTAAAAACCTGGTTTCGGAGTACCCGACCAATCCCTAGCTTTCATATTTTCCCCTTCATCACTTGAAAACGACTCGTCAGGATCAGCTTCCCCTTCCCGACACATCATCAACGATCACTTTTGCTAGATGATGTTCAGTTGAATTAATCGGTGATTCAGTTATACTCTCAGAAAATTCAATAATTAATATAATTCAATAACATTTTTATTTTAATACTATAAAAATTAATTATTTGGCATTAAAAATATTAGAAACAATTAGATAAAAAAATAAAACCCAAAAAAGAATCGAACTTTTTAGAGAAAAAAGCAACGCAAGCACACTAACCACTACACCACAACGCCATCAAAACTAATGCATTATTTAAAGTTTATACATATTTGGAAGGGGAAAAATTATGCCGAATTTTGGGACTTTGGCGGGCCATATCTTGGCCGGATCAAAAAACGGGCAAAAACGGCTCAGAATCCTTACTAGAAAGGGCACATTCTCTATCGAATGGGCCCGGTCTCGACCGTTTTTAGGTCGGACACCTCGCAACCTCTCCTTGTTAGCTTCCTGTTCAATCTATCAGTCATTTAATCAAAACTTTTTATTCAACAAACTTGTCTATTATTAATGTAACTACAAAGTACATGATTAAAAACTTTTTATATAAATATTTAAAAAACAAGACAAAATATAATATATTAAGTAGAAATATTTGTGTAGTTTGAAATGTCAAAGAGAAGAGAGAAGTTAATACTTATTAAAAAATTTTAATAATCTCTAGATTTGTATTGCTATATTCAACATAAAATAAAATCTAAATCTAGAGATATCCCTGATAAAAAATTAATAAAAAATATTTTGATTATGGGCACTTATTTACTGAAGGAGGAGGTGTTTTAAACAAAAAATGGAAGTGATTTTTTTTATTTTTTGGGAGAAATTCAACCTGAAAAAAGAGGAAAAGGCACGGCACTTAATTTTGAGGTGAGAGAATATATAAATACAGAGATTGCTTTGATTGGTAAAAAAAATTTTTTTATAATTAACTAGTATATTTTTTGTAAAACTAAAATTTTTTTTATTTTTTTTCAATCATTTTTAGAGTTTTAAATAGGCGGGCGTCCATTTTGGTAGTGTAATTGTGGCCCAAAACTCCATCGAAAATCAACACCGTCACGGCTATTCATGTAAAGTAAAATGGCAAAAGAAGTGAAAAGGCCAATTAAACACATTAATAAGTAGGAACGCCAAAATGAGGAGGAGGAAATTGTTGGATGTTCTGATTTAGTTAAAAAACTAGATTGAGTTGAAGAATTAATGAGTAATGTTGAGGGAGATTTGTTAGACAGTGAATCTGAATATAATTATTTTAAAATTTTAAATAAAGGAAAAATACTTTCAAAAGATGTGGTGACATTATTTTGTGCAATATTGACCACAAACGAATTGAAAAAATGATTTCCAAATCTAAAATAATTTTTAAAAAAATTAGTACAATAAAACAAGCAATTTAAAATCGTCTTTCAAGTTTGTTTGGTAACTGTGTGGAGGAGCTGCTTAGGAAATAACCCCCCCCCCCTCCCCCATTTAGGAACAAACTTATTATATGTATATCGGGTTGCCGTTTCCGAACCGAGCCAATCGAGTCTTTTTCGGGCCAAAAATCGAAGCACGATTCGATCTTTCAAACCGGGCAGGCAACCCTAATTATAAGATATTATTTTCTTACCCCCACGACTACATCTTATAGTGAGCTTACAACTGTATTTGAAGCCCCGAGTTAAAAAAATTAAAAATTAACCTGTTTTTTAATTTTTTCAACTCTTCTTTAATTTCATTAAATTCTCTTGCAAATTTATTTGTATAATCCTTGTTACTACTTGTTTCTGTTAAATATTGTTTGTCTAATAAAATTGAAGATAAATTTTCACAAGTAGTTTCCAAAGAATTTATACGTTGTTGCAAAAGTAGTAAATTTGAATTAATGCTCTAAAAAATAGAAAAAATTTCTACGGGTGAATAATGCAATTTGGCTCTAGTTTATGCGTCCCATAAATTCTTTTGTATTAAAAGTCTGAGTTATATTCCTTAATGGCTTTTGGATTCGGAACATATGGCTGTTGATTTGTTGATTGAAAAATTTCTACGGGTGAAAAAACTACCCGCCAAATTACTCATAAAAGTTTGGGCAGTTTTCTAAAAATTTTAAAAATTGATTTAGTAGCCAGTCCAAATTAAACGGGACGCATAAATTGGAAAAAAGCCCGGTATTCCTATTAAATTAAAAATGTGTTCACTTTAGAAAAGTTAAAGCTATTGCTTTTATTCTCATCAAATCTTTCATCAAATGAATTACAAAGATGCGAAACAGATGAAAATGTAGAGTTAAGTTCTTGAAACAGAACCGAAGTCCCATCAAAAGATTTATCCACAAAAGTTATCAATTCTCTCAAACGCTCATTTAAATTTTGACTTTCTGATAAAACTTGCCGAAATTTGTCATAAAATGAAGAAAAAGCCTTAAACAAAAATAAAAGTAAAAATAATTATTTTTATTTGGTCGAATCGCATTTTTAGCTACTTTCTAGGACTGAAAAATTGACTTGGAATGACGGTTGACTTAAATTATTGGGGGTACTTCACCAGTCCAATCAAATTTATAAAATCGTAGATTGAACAGAAATAGTAAGGGGCGTAGCCGATTTCAGTGGCTAAAATGGGGTGTGCGCCAAAATTTTGGCGTTCTTAACACGATTTTTTTGAACTATCTTTTAGTTTTTTTCAGCGCCACAGGAGAGAATTTTTTGAAATTTGGACGGTCATAAGCGAAAAAATTTCACCTTTTTGCTCAATCCCCTCCTAAATTCAAAAAACGAGATCAGACTATATCTTAAAAAACCTTTTTAGTTTCATTAAAATCTCCATCCAAAAGAATATCCGGCAATTTGTCAAAAGAATTATCAACAGAAATATTCTGATAACCAATAAAAGCATCATCATCCCATTCAAAGTCATTGGAAAGAAAGCCATTATAAGCCGACAAATTTCGGTAACGAGCATCTGAAGCACATTTTCGGCGTCGATTATTTTGTATTTTTTGTTTAACTTCATTTTTGTTTAATAAAAGTGGAGGTTTAAATGAACGTTTTCGACTATTTATTTTACGTCTTTCACGTTCATTTTCTGTAAAAGTACTTAAACTTTCACAATCATCTTCACTAAAAGGACGTCCAGAATTGACGAATATTTTGTCTTTTCCAAATAAGTCCATTACTTCCTAAAAAATTAGAAGTTAAATAAGGAGAGGATAAAAATAAAATTTAGAGGGTTTATTAAATATGAAGCACTTAAGGCATTTTTTCCAGATAGCTAACTAATGCAAGAAGCCGTTTATAAGCCACGAAATTTTCCACTGAATTATTCCTTCATTTCCAGTATGTCAAAAGTAGAGCCCGGACGGAGGGGTCGGTCGATATTTTTTCGATAATATCGAAAAATATCGAAAAAAATCGTATCGAGCCGGGTTCCAGTCAAAGGTGATTAAAAAATTAATACTTCAAATTCATTAAGCGGCCGATTTTCAGGCGAATCCACATGCACAATTAAAGAATCAGTTAATTCAAGTTTTCCCTGTCCAATTTTTTCTTCAAAATCTTGCAATATTTTTTGTGTCAAATATTTCCCTCCTTCTTGTCCAAATCCTCCCTCATCTGTATCTAAATCAGTCATTCCATAATCGTCTAGAGGTACTGTTCGATAAAAACTTTTTTCTAATTCATTGCTTTGTGCAATTTGCTCGGCCCAAAGAGGTGGATCTACATCATTTTCTTTATATTGTTCGCGATAATCCTCTCCTAGCTAAAAATGTTAGAGAAATATTTTTGAATAAAGTTTAGACTAGAGAGGGGAACTGATTTAAAGAGGAATAGATCGGGTTTGCCTAAAGGCACTTGTTTTGCCCAAAAATCACTGGGGTGACGAGGCCAATATTGCTAACGAAGTAACTCACCGATTTTGCATTTGATATTATTTCATGAACTGAATTGTTCTCCCCGCTAGAGTAACCAATGTCTGAACCTAACGGCAATGGTTGTTGTCTTTCATGTCTCACACCATCCATTACAAAAGTTGCCCTTGTAGCTAATAAATCATTTGATTGGTACAAATCTGTAGTGATTGGGAGATTCTCAAATATTTTTTCTTCAATTTTTGTTTCAAAAGTTTTTCGTCTCTTCGGATCTGGACCTTCTTCCAACTCTGAAGACAAATCTTCCTTGTCCTCAGTGAAAAGGCGTTTCTAGAAAGAGAAAATATAACAAAATATCCTCAAAAATTAAATTTTAAATGACAAAAAAAGAGAATCAATAGCCTGTGTATAATTAACCTACAGCTGTATAATAAAAGTTAATGAGAGAGAGAAATTTGTTTATTTTCAGTCAAAACAAAAAAGCTTTCCCTCAAAATTCTCTCTTTCACCTCCATAGCTTATCCAACTAAAAGACAGGTATGCAAACAGCTAAAAAAGAGGAGGGAGACGCGCTTTCTACAAAATACATTCAAAAGCAAAAATTTTAAAAGGGAATATATAATTTCTTTTGATTAAATGTTATTATATGAATAGAAAAGGCTGTAAAATAAAAAGGCTAAAAAACATACAAAATAAGAATGCTTGGCCAGAATCGGGGAGGAAAATTACTATTCGTAAAGAAATAGAATTAAAAAATGAATAGCAAACAGATTCGTCATGGAAACTTAAAGTGAGGGGAAGGAGTGGAAGAAAATCGGTTGAAGGACATATTGGCTTTAGCATGAAAAACATAGAAATCCCCCAAAATTTACAAAACTGCCGACTCATAGGGACATTAAAAACAAGTTTTTTTGGGATTTTTATTTTATGAAAGAAATAAAAAATAAAATAAGTACTCAATATAAATTGTTTCTTAAGCATTTTTAATGATAAGAAAAAAAGTATTAGGACGAGAAAATCAAAATAATAATTATTTTTGAAAAGCATAAGAATATTGGAGAGAGACGTATATTTATTATTAATGTGCTAAGGAATATTAAAATAAATATATTTTTTTAAAAACAAAGATTTTCATTTCCTGGGACAGGTGCTTTTTCATGCTGACAGATTCATAAATGAGGGAAAAACAAAAAAAAAGAATTGTTTATTCCCAACAATTTATTTGATCATAGTAAGAAATAAATAATTGAAAAGGACGAAAGAAAGAACAAAAAAGAAAAGGTGAATTGTTGAAAAAATGAAATTCAAGGATTAATCGAGCAAAGAAAAAATGTCTATGAGTAAAAATAGAAACATTCTTACAATAGCTATGTTGACTATTAGAGAAATAAAAGAATTTTGTAATTACCTTAAATTGAACAATTAATTCAAAACTCTCCAAACTGGCCAACCAAAGTGCCAGATAGCGTTGTTCAAGAGTGTCAAAAAGTTTTCTTTCGGTAGAGGTCGACCTTTGGATGTTTAGTCTAGAAAATTAGAAAGATCATAAAAAAAGTATTTTGTTTTCGTAAAATTTTTTTGTAAAATAATTTCTACCTGCAGAGTAGTTTACGGCCTTCTTTTTGAATTTGCTCTTGTAAATACTAAAAAATAATTATTTAAAATTATTCAAAAATAATTCAAAATTCAAAAATAAACACAAGTGACAGTAGCGAGGTAAAAAAAAATTTATGCGCGAATAGTCGTGAGGAAAATTAGGGGGAAGGATAACCTGTAAAATCACAAAAACATAAAAATTGGGCCATTATAATGAAGGTATATTAATAGAAGGAGAGAGACTGGCTGATGACCAATTTTGCAATTTTTAAGTGGACGTGCTTCGCTAGTCGATTGTCAATACAGAGGGGCTAATGTCAAAACAAGAAATGAGGAAAGTGCAGAAAAGAAAATAAAAATATTATTTTGGTTGAGGTAGATGAATATGTAGTAGAAAAAAAAGGTTAATCGCACACACATCTGTGCGCGAATGGAAGAGCATGCAACAATTAATTTGGTGTTAGATTTGAAATATTCTCCAGGAAACCTTGCTTTATTTCGAAATAAAGAAAGGTTGAAGAAAATATTTTTTTAACCTTTTTTAAACATAAAATAAGTAAAAGACAGACTAAATAAATGAATGTAATTTTTTCTAAATCAATTTTTCATCTCCGAAATTTTAGAGTGTTATGTCACGATGTGAAATTCGAGAATAAGAAAATATCTTCAAAAAAGATTTATTTAGATAAGTAAAGTCGATTAAATCATACTTTTACTAGTTAAAAATGCTTGAAAGAAAGACAAAAAATTTATAGAGGGATAAGTGAAAGACAGATGGCTTTGATAGAAAGCTAAATGTTGAATTGAAATATTTTTTTAAGGAGCAGGAAAAGTGTGAGGAGGTTATAAAATTGAGAAAATGATTTATTTTTAAACTATTTTAATTAATTTAAGGTTGAAAATAAAAGTTAAATGTTTATTTTAAAATATAGCGGTTAAAAGAATAGAAAAAAAAGAAATAGACATTTAAGAACATCTGCGGAATTTAAAGACAAAAGCTTTTTAAGGTTAATCTCTAATTTGTATTTTAAATTCTTTTATGACAAATCCTTTCATTAATGTAAATAATTAAAAATAGAAAAAAATATATTTTTTCTTTTATAAGACTTAAATAAATAAAAACAGATGCGCAAACTTTTGTACAAAAACTATGTAAAAATAAATTTTCTAATATGATTAAAATTGTAGGAAAAAGGTAAACAGTAAAGAGGAGAAAAGGAAAATTAATTGGATAATAAAAAAAAGAATGGATGTTTTTAAGGGTTCCCTATTTGTGAAGAAATTTTCCAATTCAAGTTTTTTGTTTAAAATTCTCTTCCACTCCCCAAAAACAGCAGAGGTGGGTCGTAATTCCGATTTCGACGTTTTTTTCCTTCCGATTTGCGAAAAAATTTTTATTTCCGGTTTCCTACTTTTGAGACAGTTACGATTTCCGACACCTCTGACTGTTCCGACCCACCTCTCCCCAGGAGGAATGGAAGAAACAAATCAACTAAAATAAAAATACTCACCCACAGGTAAAAAGGTTAAACGAGGACTGGGAGATGAAGAAAACAGAAAAAGAATAATTTTTATTAATAAAATAAATATTGCGGTAAAAAAGAAGAAGATGGATTTAGTATGGTTATATAGTTGAGATTAGTTGGGAAGATAATCTGATAATCCCAACATTCAATGCGGGATACATAAAAAAATCAAGGTCAGCCATAAAAATGGAGAAACAAGAAACAGAATTAAAACAAATATTAGTTAATTTAAGAAAATGGATTAGAAATTTCGGCATATTGTAATAAAAGTTTTTATTGTTAGTCAAGGCAATAAAACTTGGTTTAGTGTTGGAAATAGAAGATAATCTTGCTATAATTTTTGATGTAAAATCGAGTCAGGAGTTTTCAAAGAAATCCAAAACAGATCAATAAAAAAATAAAAATAATCAATAAAGAACATAATACAGGCCAAATACCATGGGCGTAGCCAGGGTCGGAGTTCAGGAAATAGGATAAGCTTGGGTGTGCGCCGAAATTTTGTGGTTATTTCGAGATTAACAAAGTATAGTACTAGTGTGTGTGCCACAGGAAATTAGTGTTCGTTCCAGTGTACTTAGTTTAGAAGTTCCGGGTTTTCGGTTTCCATTTAACATTAAAATGTGGTTATGATTCTTAATTAGTTCAGATCAAATTAAACTTAAACAAATTAAAACATTTCTAATGACTGCACATAACTTTATTTAAGCGAAGCCTTTTTAATTTTAGTGTTTTTTTATGGTTGTAGTTACCCCGCGGCGTTTAAATGCGAATTTTAGGTTCATCAGCAAATAATTTACAAAAAAATTTTGTAAATTTTTCCTCACCGGCGGTCATTTAGAAGAAAAAAGATTTAACCCAATTTGCTTATATTTTTAATTCCTAATCTCTGACTTACAAATTTAAGTTTAAGTTCGGACCAGGAACAAGGGCGTAGACAGGGGATCGATTTCGTGGAAGGGGGGGGGGAAACCAAAAATAAGATCCGGCATCCAATTCAGACGCAGATAATTATAATAAAATAAAAACATTTTCACCAACCTTTTGTTCCAATTCCAAATCTTGTAAAGAAGAAAGAGAATTACGAGAAAAAGGAATCTTTTGCCGAATACGTGCCAAGTCCAATTCTTGTCTGCACAGCCATTTTCGAAATTTTGAGGCCATAACAGAATTTGAAGAATTATTTTCCTCCTGTTCCTCCTCTTCCTCAAAAGTTTTTTCGTTTTCTTTTTTATGTTGTAATTCAGACAAAGCTTGATATACACAATCCAAACGAAGTTGGATATTTGTAGAGAAAGTTGGAAAACGAACAGAAAACCATTGAACTTCTCGAGAAAGCAGGTCAGCTTGAAAAACAGAATTTTAATTAAACAAATAGAAAACAAGTAACAAACCGTCTAATTTAAGTTTTGACATTGACAACTTCTAAAAATTTAATAAATTAATTTGTTAAATTTATAGAAATTTAAATAATTTAATTATGTCTTTCATCCAAAATTGGGAAAGCAAAAAAGTTAAAAAAAATTTGATTATTAAACCCGCATTTCAAGTTTTAAAGTTAGTCTAACAATAAAAATCTAACAAAAAATACCAAAGTAACCAGGCAAAATTTTCAGGGGTTAAGGGGAAGGGGGTATTTAGCAACATTTTTTGCCAAAAAAATTCTGATAATTTTATCAAAAAATTCACTCTTGATAATTGTCCTTCAATTTTTTAATTTTTCCGATTTGGGGGGAGGGGGGGGGGGGGGGGGAGGAGTATATGACAACACAATAATCGATTTTCATAACAGAAAATTTATGTTAATGTTTTTTAAGTGATTGGAGGAAAGGGATATCAAAGAGCAGAGACATAAAACTTGAAATTTTTTATTAACCGGTCTCCCATTTAAATTTAAAATAAAAATTAATTTTATTATTCAAAAAACAAACGGAAAATTCAGAGCCATTTAAAACATTAGCATCTTTTATTTGGTTCCATAACCCAGAACAACGTTCTTCCATCAACCCAATTTCATCCAAATTAGGCTCTTCTAAATCCTCTATTCCTTCTAAATTTTGTTCACTTGTCTCATCAATTATTTCATCAATTTTCTCAGTTTCAGAGAAAAAATAATTATCGCTAATATCCATTCTTCTTTTTATTGAAGAAATTAAATTTAAAAGTTTTGATTTTTTGGTTGAAACGATCTACTAAAAATAAATATTTAAAAATATTTTAACGGAGCACCTCAGTTTAGTCTGGATCAGTTCAGTGTGGACCTTACAACTCATCAAGGAATAATCACTTTTTCATGTTCTTGGTATCATTGGATAGAGAATCAAAAGCTCTACAACATATCAAAAAATCAGAATTTTTGACCTATTGATAAAAAAGTTATGAAATAAAAACCAACTTTTCCAAAAAAACGTGATTTTTTGGCACTTTTTCGATCACAACTTTTTTACCAGATAGTCAAGAATTTTAATTTTCTGGTATATTACAGCTTATTTAATGCTCTATCAAATGGTACCAAGAGGAAAAAAAGTGACAACCCCTTCAAAAGTTACAGGTCGCGCGACTGAACTGAGCCCAGATTGAAACGAGGTGTACCCATATTTAAATTAAAAAAATATACATTGTTTTTGTTTTGAGTAAATGTTGGTTTTGACCGCCAGTTTTTATTCTTTTAAAGAAATTCAAACAATCATCACTCAAAAAATCATCGAAGAATAGTTGAAGATAAAGGAAAATTTAAAGAAAAAATAATTTTTCGTCTCCTCAAGGTTGGAGACTAAATTGTGTAGATATCTAAAAATAAAATAAGAATTTTTGGTTAAAATATATTGGCTAAAATAAAAAAATTAATGGTTGGGCAAAATAAATAAAAAGAAGGCAGAAAAAGAAGGCAAAACTAATCCAATTTTAAAGATTAGCAAACAAACAAAAGAAGGCTTAAGGGGTCACTTGGGCAATAAATATATTCTCAAAGACCAATGGATATTTGTTTATACATAAATAAATTGAAAACAAAGTGAGAGGAAATAGAGTAAAAATGCCAATTAAAAATAAGAGAAATTGAAATTTTCTAGTCAAAATTTCAAAAATTTTAAGTTCAGAAAATCATAGTGACATTTTGTCCAAAAAGCGGTTACTGTATAGTTAAATTTTGTTCATCAAGATTTATCGGTTATTTATTTTAGTGACCGTCAAAAATCCCGCATGCAGTATATTTTAAAAATTCTTTGCGGGAGAGGATCCTGCGGGATAAATCTCGCAAAATTCTGAAAATCAAAAAATGCGGGCTTGCGGGGGCAAAATCCCCCTCCGGTCACTAGCTTATTTTTTTGGCGCCAAAAATTCGTTTTTTTGTTCCTACATAAGAGAAGGCTTAAAAAAGAAAAGGGTCACTTGGCTTAAAGGGTCAATTTAAGTCAAAAGACTTAAAGGGTCACTTGGGTTGCATTCCAGAACCTATGGCCACTTTTCGTTCCCAAACTCCTACTTATCACCAACCTTTTCACGCATTACTTCGGAAAAGTTTAAAGAGGGTCACTTTTAAGTAAAAACAAAACAAAAAGGAAAAATTGGGATAAAGCTGTGAATGCAGCAATCGATTGAAAAGAGAAGAAAAGAGGGGGGAGATTGGCTGTTTTACAAACACTATGTAGCCCAAACATTAAAGAGAAACTAAAAAAAGTATGAAGAAACAAACAAATAGTGTACAAATGATACTGATTAATGTGAGCGAGAAAAAGGAAAGAAAGAAGGGGGCCATTTATTCCAAATTGTTGGCTGCAAATAAAAAATAATAGGAAAAAAATTGCCAAAAAGTTGTAGTAATTCTAATTTTTGGGAATAATCCAGAAGATCACAACCCTAGAAGGTCAAATCCAAATATTTGGCGGATAAAAAGGATTTTTGGGGTATTAAGTGGAGGGACACGCCCAAGTAGGCGCGGCCATAACGGCGCAAAGCCATAAGCTGTTGGAAATTTATGGCCCTTAACAATTTTGGTATCAATCTGATTAGCTCGATGAGAAGAATCGTTTAATACTAAATTTGGTGAGATTCGGAAATCTTGAAGCAAGTTATGGATTTGCGCCGTTATGGCCGCGCGCCTACTTGGGCTGTACCCTTAAGTGGATTTGGGCGGATTAATAGGGATTTGTTGGGATTAAGAAAAGAAATAAGACGGAAATTCTCTCGGGTTACTGTCAGATAAGGCAAAAGGGCCCAACGTATTCCTGATCTTGAGCCCTCTTTATCTGCACAAATATTTGGATTTGACCTTTCGGTTCTTGACTTTCAGGTTTTGACCCTAAAGGGTTGGACCCTATATTTATTATCATTATTTTTGCGTTGATTCTTTACAAATTTTCTTGGAAAATTGGAGAAAATTAGGAATATTTAGGTAGAAAATTGAAAGAAATAAATTCCAAGCCGAAAATTTTGTTACATGCATGTGAACAGAAGAGGAAAGAATATAAAGAGGAAAAAAGAGGGGGAAAGGAGGTTTAAAAGGAGACCCATATTGGTTTGTGTTTGCAAGAATTTTTGGTGTTGATGGCTTGGAAAGATTTTTTGAGATGCGCAGTTATTTGAAAAAAATAAAAAGAAGAAGATAGATTACTCTACAAAATTAAAAATTAATTTTTTATTTTTTTAACGTTATTTATTGATTTTTTTATAAAAAAATTTAAAAAAAATAAATATTTAGTAAAGAATAAATTCTTCGAATAAAAATTTTTGTGAAACAAGAATTTTGGGGAATAAAATCAAATAAAATAAATCTTTGTGGTTTTAACAAACGAAGATTGCTATAAAATGATTGTCGCCGCTCTCCTAGTAGTACACTGATTAATCGACCTTTCCATCTGTCAGATCCGATTGGATCAAATCGGCTAGTGTAATTTACACAAATATGTGTATTATTTGACTGCCATCAAAATGAGGTTAAATGTAAAAGAAAGAAGCGTTTCTTTAATTTGTAATAAATAATTGATTCTTCTTTGGAAAAATATGTAGGGATTTATCCATTATACGCCCACAATCTGAGTGCCAGCCGCTATAACTTTTTGTTGTTTGATCCAATAATAATGAATTTTTTATATCATTCGAAAGTACTCGATAAGCGGTAATCTTTTCCGACTTGATGGATTTGTTATGCTCGTTTAAAAATCATAGCCCGATAATTTGTAAAAAACACCAAATACTTATTGGGTTATAACTTTTTAATAAGTGATTAGACTTGATCTACCCTATTAGAAAAAAGATTCAGTTGATCGAGGGCTTTCGGATGATACAAAATAGATTTTTATTAGATCAGGTATCAAAAAGTTATAGCCGATCAGTCGGCTGGCGCTCAGTTTGTTGATGTATAACGGATAAATACAGAAAAATATGTATCCGAAGAATTTTTCAGGAGTTTCGCTGCTTTTGATACTAAAATTTCAAGTTTAGTTTCAAGTTTTTATTCTGAGAATTTACTAGAACTGATTTTATTGAATTCTTAATTTAACGACTGATTGTGAGAACCATTTATAAAAGTCATTTAAAACAAGCATTGGGAATGAAATAAAAACCCATCTACAATGAGAGCGGAAAGGTAAATTTAAATAAAATGTTTAATTTATGAGTTTTGATAAGAAACTGAATATAAAGGAGAATAAAATTAAACGATGATTTTGGGGTTGTAAAATAATAAAAAGGCAAGAAACACTTAAAATTAATAATTTAAATAAGGAAAATATTGCTCTATATATTGGATATTTTGAATTTCGACAAAACTTATTGTGTAAAATCTATAATTTTCGAATTCAACTTTGCATTCAATTTTATCAGATTTTTGATCTCTAACAGGGTTGTCGTTTTACCCTATTTATAGGGGATTTTCCCTATTTTTGGCCTTTTCGCCCTATTTTTTCCCTATTTTATACATTTGCCATATTTTGCCCTATTTTTAACATTTTGTAATATTTTTTAAATTTTCGGGAATTTTGTAAATAAAATGCGAAAAAAACAAAGAAATCTAACTCTTGGAAATAAAAATTCCCAAAATTTTCGCCTGCGGCGCTGAAAAAAGAAATCTCTCCCCTATTGGTCTTCTTAATTTCTTAAAATTTTCGCCTTCGGCGCTAAAAAAGAAAAAAGCTGGCTTCATAACTTTAAAAATTCTCAAAATTTTGCAAGAATGGACGAAATCTATCGGTGCTAAGATCATGAAGCTTGATTATCGAAATCGAGATTTTTCGAGACATCTCGTGCGATAAAAATTTCAGTTTTCCGAGATTCGAGATATCTCGGACGATTCTCGCACGGCATTCCCAGTCTGATTCTAATCCAAACTTTTCTGTTTTTTAGAAATTTAGTTAAAACTTGTGGAGAACATGCGGGGTAAGGCGTTTTATTTAAAATTTTAAATATTTTTATGTTTTTTAAAATAATTCCCTATTTTTTGCCATATTTTGACCGATTTCGCCCTATTTTTTCCCTATTTTTGAGTGGCTGTGCCCCATTTCATTGGTTTGGAAACGACAACCCTGATCTCTAATATAAACTATAGTCGAATCATAATTGTAGATGTACACAATTTTAAATGGACTCATCTTTTACTACAATTATTTCTAATTTAGTCCTCATTTAGCTTTGGAGACAAAATCCACATATGACAAAATACTTATATTTTTTAAAAATTTATTTTTGTTTAAAAATTCAGCTGATAAATTTAAAAAATTTCAGCTGATAATTATTAAATTGTCAGATACTTAATTTAAAACATTTTAATATGATTAAACAAACAAAAATGGATACTTTTTCACTTTTAAAAAATAAATGTTTATTTATCATTCTTCTCCAAAAAATACGCAGATTTAAATTAAGTATCTCATTTTTACATCCAAAAATACCAAATATACAACTCGATTGTGAATAAATTATCTTCGATTCCAATAGTGTATTTTATTATATTAAACTATTCCAATACAATAGAGGTATTCTCTGATTGTATCAAGAAATCTTCAATTTTATCTTGATTAGCCTAAATTCTCGACAAAATCAAAACATACATAACCAACTCTTTTTCTTTTTTTGTGGGATGGGAAATTTCCCAATGGGAACTTCCCAAAAATGTTAAAAATAAAGAATTGGATAACGGCTTTACATATTTAATTTTCAAATGATTTCTGTAATTTTTATTGGTGAATTTATTTTTATAAATATTTTCTCTAAATATTTTGAATAAATAAAAATAGAATTTCTATCATTTTTGTATTTTGTCATAAGCCTTCCAGCAACACACACTCTAAATGCATAATATATTTTAAATACTTTTTTCCTAAAATCAGAAGAATTTCTATTTTTAATCAACACATATACAAATATTTAATAAAAGTCACACATTTACTTACTAAAAATATAAAAAGAGAAATTCAAACTAAATTTGTTATTTACTAATTTAAAAATTACCTTTTTCATTTTATCAAAATTTTTTTAAAATTTAATATTTACCTTTAAAAATTACTCAAATAAAAATTTGTTTAATTAATTATTGGTAAAATTATTATAAAATTCTTTAAATTATTTACTATAGGAGAGTCAGACTGATAGGAGATAACGCAAAAACAAAATAATTAAACATTGATTCTGGAGAGTTTTAGTGTGGCTCTGAACATTAATTTAGAAAATATTTTATTTATTTTACATCAATTATTTTTATTAAATTAAAAAAATTTTTTTTCTGATTTTTAAATTAAAATTATATTTAATATTTTAAAAATATCTGATTTATCTAAATATCCTTTAAAAGCAACTTGACTATTTGAATTATTTTTGAGTTGCGATGCTAGTGCGAAAATTCTAAACATTTTTATTTTTTAAAAGAGAAAATGTTAAACAAAATTACAAAAACATATCGATACAAAATAATGTTAAAAATATTAAAATATTTTTTTTTTGAATTTATTTTTTGAATTCTAATTATTTTAAATTTTTGGGCTGCAAATACCATATAGAAAATTCTTTAATGAATTAATCTTATTTTTTTAAAAATTACATATAAACAATACTAAATATTTAAAAATTAAAAAAAACTAATTGTTTTATCATTCCCCAATTATTTACCTTTCCCCCCTTAAAATATTTTTTTGCATCAACATTTCATTGAAATATTTTCAATTCTTCCTAATAATTTTTAAAAAAAGCAGAAATTGATAAAATAATTAAATAATTAAAAATTATTCTTTCTATAAATTTTTAGCATAATTTTATTTTTTCTTAAATTCCTTAATTTATCAGTAACTCCCATCCCTCCCCTCTCCCCCCTCCTCTCTTTATTTGTTTATATACTACCTACAAATTTTTAAAAATTACTAAATTATTCTCATTAGAAAATGACAAAAAAATTTCTCTTAAATAAATTTATTAAAATTATTATTAATTCTCCTTTCTTTCAATTTTTAAGTTAAATTTAAAGTGGTAAAAAAAAGAAAAAAATTTTTTTACTAAAAACCTAAACAAACATTTCCTTTCAATTTTTAAAATTGATTTGCTAAACAAAAAATCTTTTTTTTTATTTAAAAATTGAGGAGGGGGTTAAAATAATTTTTAAAATTTTTCCTTCAATTTTTACCATGTTTAAGCCAATTTAAAATAATTTTCTTTTGTTTGTTTGTATTTTATGAAAATAAAAAAAAATTAAAAAATCTCTCTTTGAAGGTACAAGAAAGTTCTGTATAATTCTTTAATTCTCGAAAATTTTTTTTCTAAAAACCAAAGGTTATTAAAAAAATTTTTAAATAATTTAATTTTCAACTATTTACATTTAAATATTATAATTAATTCTGTTTAATTACACTAATCCTTTTTTCAAATAATTTTTAAATTAAATTATTTAACTCAAATTTTTTTACTAAATAATTTTAATTAAAGATTTTTAAAAAAAATGTTAAAATATACCCACAGTAGCAATAAAAAACCTCAAATTTCCACAATTTGTTCGAATATAAATGAAGGTTTTGTGTCTGAAGAAGGGGCTAATAATTTTAAAAAATCTTCCAAACCATCAATTAATAATTATGCGGCTTCTATTTCTTCCTCAACATCTTCTTCTAATTTTTCTCTAAATTCTTTAGATATAAGAAAAGATGGATATTCGTTAGTTTTCTTTTATTTTGTAAAAAAATTCTTTTTGACTAGGAGGGGAGGGGGGGGGAGACGAGACTAGGAAGTTCGATACTTGTTTGGGGACCTATTAGTTAATATAATTGTTGGGTTAGTAATTATTTGGGTTAGCAAGCCTGGGTTAGAAAAATAGCCAAAATTACAAACTTTTAAAGGTTTATATATTTGTTATCTCTAGTTTGTTTTCAAGCAGCTATAAAAATTTCAGAATTTTTGGTTAATTATTTGTTGGGTTATGGCTGGAAACGGCAAGGTCACTCATTTTTTAGTTTACAGTACGTGGATGTATTTTCAATAATTTTGGGGGAAAATAATGAGATTAATTAAGTATTTAAATTAATTTTTGGTTAATTATTGAGAGTAATTAGTTTAGACAAAAATTGGAAAAAAATATTAAATTTGTGTTCCTTAAAAATTAATTAAAATTATTTTTTAAAGTTATGTAGCAATTCTTGTTAATTTCCTCAAAGGAATGATTGGACCAGGCTGTCTATCCCTTCCATTAGCTTTTAAACAAGCTGGGCTTTGGGTAATTGTTATTTTAAATTTTAAATATTTGTCTTTAAAATTATCAGACAGCCCTTTTCTTGGTATTTTTTCTTGGTTTTCTAAATTGTGTTTGTATGAATAAATTGGTTAGATGTGCTCAAATACTTTGCAAAAGGTATTCAAATATTAATATATTAATATAGTAAAATTATTTAGAAAAGGAGATTCTTTCCTAAGTTATGGAAATATGGCCTATGAAGCAGTTTCTGGTAGTTTCCGTCCTGTAAGAAAATATGCAAGAATAGCAAGGTGAATAATCTAATTAAAAACTTTAACAGTTTCTCTCACAAATATATTTGTTGATTAACCATTCCTAAGGGGCAGGGACTGTCCAAGCTACACAGAGATGTCACGGGTTATCCTAACCCCTGACTTTCCCGAAATCCGGACTTTTTCCTACCGAATCCGAAACTTGATCAAAAGAAATTTTGAAACCTTGATCAGAAACTCTAAAACTAGTAAACGTAAATGGTGGGGGCTTCCCAAGTTATAGTGCACCATCTCATGAATTCTTCAGCCCTACAAGGGTTCTAACCAACTTTACTATTTCGAATTCCGGTTTCTAATTAAATAAAAAGTTGCTGTTTTCCCAACAAGAAACGGCATCTATTTACCCATTATTTTTTATATTTTTCAGAATTTGTACTAATGCCTCAATAATTTCACTTCAAATGGGTATTTGTAGTGTATTTTATGTTTTTTGTGCAATTCACCTTAAAGAAGTTTTTTCAACTTTATAATTTTTTAAAAAGTTCATCTTTTTCTAGTCCAATGAAGAATTTTTTCCTTCTTCGTCTTTTAAACCAACAACAATTCAATGGATGTTTATTATTTTTCTTCCTTTTTTAATTATTAATTTTGTCCGTTCTATTAAGCCAATAGCCGTTATTAGCATGATTGGAAATGTTGTATGTCTAATCTGTTTAGCTTTTATTTTTCAGGTAATTTCATAAAAATATTTATTTTTTTAGTATATTTCTGTCTGATTATAATCTTTTAATATTTGGTGATCTTATAAGGATTTATCAATTATTAAAGTAAATAGAAAAAAACCAATCTTAGAAAATTTAAATGATTAGAAGGGTTGAAAGGTTTGAAGCAAAGGGGGGGGGGTCGGAATTCCGATTTCCGAAAAAATTTTGATTTTCTATTTCCGAGTTCCGACTTTTGAGCCAGTTCCGATTTCCGACACCTCTGACTGTTCCTACCCATCTCTGGTTTGAAGTAAAGTTTATATATATCCTTCCAAACATCCCTTCCATGAGTTAGAGTAGTTTCTACTTTTACTGTATAAAATAGGCTAGGAGAAGACATGGCAAATCTTACAATAAATAAAAAACCACTCTTAATTTCTCCCATATTTTATAAGAGGGATATTTATAAAGGAATATTTTTAAAAATAATTTTTTAAACCCAATTTAATTTAACAACCTTTTACAGTATTTAATAAGAATAGAGGATCGAACAATTAAATTACCTCGAGTTACCGATTTTGAAGGAATTATGGCTGCGTGTGGATCTATTCTTTATGCATTTGAAGGGCAAGCAATGGTAAAGAAATTGAAGAAATATTTAAATAAAAATTATTTTTTTAAAGGTACTTCCTTTAGAAAATAAATTAAAAAAGCCTTCCCAAATGGTTGGAACTTTTGGAATTTTGTCGGTAGGAATAGCTGCTGTCTCGGTAATTTTTGCTTTGTGCGGCTTTCTTGGTTTTACAGCATTTGGGAATGATGTACGTGGAAGTATTACTTTAAATTTGCCACAAGATAATATGTAAGTTTAATTAAAAGAGTTTTGAATGGAAAAAGAAAATAAACAAAAAATTTGTTCCTTTAGAGGGTATCCAAATTAATTATTTCTTTTCTATGATACTTTCTACTTTTGGACATAATAAATAAGCTAAATAATAAATAAGCATATGTATATATGTAAATATAAGAGCATTTTATTTAAGCCCGAACTGGATGGGTCGAACGAGAATCGAGATCTCGGATGAACATCAAACCCGATAATAGATATATGTATTAGTTCGGGATTCCTTCTCGGTTTAACCTTTATTCCACATTACTTCCCTTTCAACACAAAATACTTTCTGTATTTCTAATTAACATTTTTAAATCTAACTAAACCAAAAAAATATTTTTTTAAAGCCAATTTTCTCTTCTTCGATTAGCCTTAACACTTGTTATTTACCTTGGTTTTGTAATTCAACTATACGTTATTGTTGATATGCTTTGGCCTGCACTTTGGAAAAGATTGGAAAGGAGAGGGGGATTTTGCTCTTCTGTTAATTTAAAATTACCTTTTGAATTGGCTTTAAGAACTTTTCTGTTGTTTATTATAAGTAAGGGGGGGGGATATAAATAAATAAAGAAATTCATTTTTAATTTAAAGTGATTTTTGGTATTGCTGTACCTAATTTAGAAGAACTTATTCCACTTGTTGGTGTTACTACAGGTAAATAAATACAAAATAATCAGAAAGCATTGTGCTTTGTGTTTATCTTTTTAATTTTAAGAATTTATAAAAATTTTCCATTAACTGACGGGATAATAAAATATAATAATAAGCAATGTGATACTAAACTAAACGAAGTTTTTGATTATTTTTTTGTTGAAAAACAAAAATGTATATCCAGACCTATCTTACTTTTAATAAAAACTTTTTATTAACTATCTATAAATGGAATATTTAATCTGATTAAGCATCAGTATTTCATTACCTTGATTATAATTTTTAAAATTTTTCGGTTCCAAAGGGGGTTACTGCTATTTTCTTCTTCAAAATATAAACAATTTAATTAAAGCTACAAATGGGAGCGGGCCAACGTACCGCAGAGCTATAACTTCGTTAAAAATAGTCGAATCCGGGACGCCTAGGTATGGTTCGATGCATCTCGACGAGCTGAATCGAACCATATTAGGACGTCCCGGATTCGACCATTTTGAACAAAGTTATAGCTCTGCGGTACGTTGGCCTCGCGGTACGTTGGGGTGTACCACGACAAATAACAACATTTTTCAATTAATATTTTTTTCAATTTTAAAGGAATGTTATTAGCATTTTTAATCCCTCCTCTGTTGGATCTACTTACTTGGCTACCAATTAGAATTAAAAGGAGAGAATATAAATTAGCTACATTATTAATAATTGAAGATTTAATTATGGTTTTAATTGGCCTTTTTGGAATGATTGCTGGATTACAGGCTAATTTAGTGAATATTTTTAAATAAATTATATGTTAATGTAAATATTAATTTTGAGAGATTTATTAGAAAATTTAATTTTTTTACTAAAAATTAATATTTTGTAAATATATTTAAAGAAGTAGAGAATGAATCCTTAAATTAAATCTCTACTAATTTTCTTTAAAAATATTTAAATATTTATATTTTTATTATCTTTTAAATTAAAAGAATTAATAAATTTTATGAGCTTGAATAGTAATATTAATAAAAAAATTCACCGAAAGAATTTATGCAAAAATTTTTTTATAAATAAACTACAAAACAGTTAGAAATAATGGAGATTAAGCCATTCAAAGATTTTGTTTCGAATGTAAAAAATTCTTTGAATGACTTTAATAGAGTAGGTCAAACTTGATTTAGAACCTGCCTTTCAGTTTCGGATAACAAATAGGATTGTTCTTTCAAATTCCCCGACTTTCAGGGACGGGGAACAACCCTACTAACAAAGCTTGAGCTACTTTATGACTTCAAAAATGAAAATTTAAAAATAATTTGTAATAAATTGATAGATAGATTAGGGGTTTGAAATTTTCAGATTTAAAACTTTTAATGCTAAAAATATAGTAATTTTTGGTGTGTTTACTTTAATACTTTAAAATATACTTGAATATATGTACAAGTGTTTTTGACTAATAATAGAGTGTTAGTATGAGCTGAAATTTTTCGCACTCCTACCGTAAATCTTCTAATAGAACCACTTGTGCTTTAATGTTTCATCCTCTCATTTGGTGTGGTTATATTGAAGAGTGTGCTTTTTCAGAGATTGTGGTTCTATTAGATTTACGGTAACTGTAATGTTAGGGAAGAAATTTTTAAAAGTAAAGACAAATGAAGTCATCTCTTTTTAGTAGTGAATGAGAGAATTTCATTTCCCACATAAAAAATAAATGTCCAATTTTGGGAATTGGAAATTCCCAACACAAAAAACATAGGAAATTCCCGATTTTATGGAATTACGATATTTTTGTTAGTATTTGCGGGGGTTAAAATTAAAGATCATTATGTGACGCAATTAAGATTAAACAACCGTTAATTTCACCTCCGCAGGTAAAATTTTTTATTTTAGTGTCAATAGGACAAAAATTCAAATTTTTAACGATAAAAAATTCCAATAATTTTAGGAGATTATTAACCATTAACTAGCTACTAAAAAGAGTTGACTTTATAAAAAATTGCAGAATAATGTTTGATTTAAAAATTTTGTTCTACTAAGCAAAGTAATTTGCTAAACTAAAAGAATTTCTCTGAGACAGAGCTTTCACCATTACTAGCTCAATGCCAAAAGTAAATTCCCAGAAAAACTGCACCAACAATCCATCCAATCAAAGCTAATATAAACCAAACTCCTACAATAAAACCTCCACAATCGACCCAAACAACCTCAACAATATCTCGCTTCTTTCGAATTTTATTTTCGTTTTTTAAATTATCAAAACATCCATTCTTTGTTAAATAAAAGATTGAATTCTTTTTATCATCTTTATGGAAACTAATTGGAAAAGAAATGTTTGGACAGCTATCTCCATTGTTTGCAAATTCATTGAAGCGACATTCTTTATTTAAAAAAGGAATATTAAATTAGGGTTGTTGGCTATCGGTACCCTCGATTTTCTAATATCTCGATTTTGAATCCCGGCTCTCATTTTTAGTCGACTTTTAGTCGTCACAAGCTAAATCTCCGACAAATGCAGTTTTTAGCGAGAATAGGATAGGAAAAGGTGAAAAGGAATAATTAAAATCTGTCAAAGTGTACTGAGTAAAATAAAAACCAACCTTTCTGATTATCCTTTATCCCCCGGCGATAACGAGTCTGTTGGCCATAATGGGAAACATAATTTTCATATCGAACTGGATCGCTAAATTGATATCCCAATTCTAACAATTCATTTGGATCATTAACAACATTTCCAGTATGAGGATTTATGATAGGTTGGTGCTGTGGAGGAGGAGGATTTTGATTTTCTCTTCGTAAAAATTCTGGTAGACGAATTTCAGGCAAATTAATTTCTGATAAATGAATAACAGGCACAGGGCAATTAATTTCACCGAAAGTCCACGCAACCAAAAAACTTGATCCTAATACACCAAGCAAACCGCCAAATCCAAGATATACAATGATAAAGAACGCCACCTTGTCAACCATATTATAATCACTAATTTGTTTGTGATAACGTTTTTTGCGGATTAATTGAATTGAATTAGAAATTGAAGTGTTCTTAAATTAAATTTAGTTATTGTAAGGATGATTCACCTAGCAGCATTTAAAACGCTTAGGCGGGGGATAAACGATCTAAAAAGGAAAAAGAGAAAGCATTAGTCGATGCCCCGGTAGCTCAACGGTAGAGCTCCTGCATATAGTGAGCGAAAGCCTAGCAACAACTAGCAGGTGGTCGCAGGTTCGAATCCTGCCCGGTGGCTAAACTTTTGCAAACTCTTTCTTTATTTACCAAATTTCGGGGTCAACTCGGAGTAAAAATGATAATTTATTGTGCCGAATATATTGTGCGGATTTACCCGGAGTTGGGGGTTATTTAACCCTTACAAATAACCCTGATTTTATTGTACGGGCCCTGATGCATGAAATATTTCTTTAGAGCATTTTACTAGGATAAAATATGAATTTGATGTTCTGGATGACAGATTTAGCCAAAAATAGGTTTTGGTTAACCAAAACCGGTGGTCAATCAAGACCTGAAAACCGGAGGTCGTAAACCGGCAAAAACCGAAAACAGAGAGTACCGGTTAAAACCGATTGTGTCCTACCTAGTATGAACCAGGGAACGAGCCTCACGATTTCCGAAAATCGGGAATTCCTGACGATTTTTGGGTCGAGATCCTACATATTTCCCGAAGTTGGGAATTTCATTCTTATGTCTGCTCGTTCCCTTATATGAGCCTCTAGGGAGCAGGCCAACTTACCGCGAGCCCAACTTACCGCAGAGCTATAACTTCGTTCAGAATTGCCGAATCCGGTACGCCTTGGTATGATTCGATGCGTCTCGACGAGCTGAATCGAACTATACCAGGGTGCCCCGGATTCGACAATTCTGAACGAAGTTATAGCTCTGCGACGAGTTGGGCTCGCGGTAAGTTGGAGTGTACCCGAGCCTCTACCTCTTCTTCTCCCCCAAAACATTCTTTTATTTTTAACCAATCAACAACAACATTTTCTTCTTTTCCAAAATTATTTTTAAATGATTTAAAAAACATTCCATTTAAATTAATTTCTTCAAAAAATTTTAAAAAATAATTTTTATTTTCCTCAACAATTTTCCCTTCTTTTTTCATTTCACTCAACATTTCCTCATTATCATTTCCTTCCTTCAAAATTTTAACAAAAATTTCGATTTCTTCAAATAAATTTCCAAAATCTTTTCTAATTTTAATCCAAGTTTTTTCCTCTTTTAAATCGTTTTTTCGGAAATTATTTAATAAATTCCCCATTTTTTCTGTCAAATTTTTTCCATAAATTTTTTGATAATAAAAGAGAGGAATAAACAAATTCTCTAAAAGAGTTTTTCTCAAAACAAAAGAATTAATTATTTCCATAATTAAATTTATTTTTTTATAAATTTGACCAAATATTTTATTTTTACTATTTAATGCTTTCTTTCCGATCCAATTAATTGGACTTGTTAAATAATTAAATATTTTCTCTATTAAACGTTTCCCTACTCCTCCTCCTCCATTCCCTCCAAAAAGTTGAATTGCTCTAAAATTGATATATTCTGGCTTGAAAAGCTCATCTGAATCTCCACTCACTGGAAAATTTAAAGGAAAATTTTATGTCAAAAAACTAAATTTAATTTAATTAGGTGAAAAACGGGGTTAACCACTTGTTAAATAATTAAATATTTTCTCGATTAAACGTTTCCCTACTCCAAACGGGGTTAACCAGGTCCGCGGCATTTCCCTGAGTTTGACATTGACCCTGACAATCTTTGTCTACCTCATTTTTTCAAATTCATAACTCCGATCCTCGATTCTATCCCGAGTCAGAGTCAACAATCTCAGGAGGATAGCTTATTAATTCAATGCCAGCTTCAATTCTTAACAAGCGTGATCCTAATTTCTGAGGATGTACTCATCAACTTTAGTAAATCTCAGACAAGCCCCAAACATAATGAGTGTTTCACTCAATTATTTTAATCAACTCAAAATTTAAAAAAATATTCACATTTAAAGTCCAAATCCAACATTAATTTACTCATTTCTTTTTCCAAATTTAATTTAAACTCATTTTTGTTATAACCAATTTTTTCCAAAATCATTAAATTACACATTTCATTAACAAATAATTTATTCATTAAATTCTCTATCAAAACAAAATTTCCTTCAATTAATTTTATTTTTTTAATTTCTTCTTCAGAAATATCCAATTTAATTAAATTTCCATTTTTTAAAATTTCTGAAATATTTTCTTCTTCTTCCACAATTACTATTTGTTTTAATGCCAAAGCTAAAGCAAAATATTTTGCTTTAACAAATTTTGAAAAAAATTTTGAAAGATTTTGTTGGAATATTTCTTCTCCTTTTGTTGATTTTTTAAACAAATTTTTATAAGAAAATTCTTCATTTTTCTTTAACCTTTTTTTAAATTAAAAATAATTAAAAATTTATCAAAAACATAATTTAGTAGAGGTGGGTCAAAACAAACATTTGTTGTTTTGTTTAGATTTGGCCAAAAAAATAAGAATATACGCTCCTTCTAGTCAAATGTATAGTTGGAGGGCCTTGTGAAATCTCGGATTTATCATACTAGCTAAATAGTCCTGAAATTCCTTCATATGATCCAAACCAACCTCGCTTACAATGTAATTTTCTGCTTTGGATAAGCTTTTATTCTTGGGGTTTCGAAAGTTTTGACACTGGAAAGAGGCTCCAAGATTTTTTGGAAAGTTTTTTGGAATTGAACTGAGCATAAACAGCCCCTAAATTTTAGAGCACAATATTCCGTTTTTCACTTACAAATTAAAGCAAAAATT